AAACCCCCACTCACAGGGCTTGTCTTTATTTGCCCTAACTTAGGACCTCATTCATTGTAGAGAGCTTTTTCCTGCAGGGTGTTTAAGGAAAAAAAAAATCAGTGATGATTGTTCAGCATCAAAGCTGCCTGAGTTGAGGCAAGTAAGAAGCTGACCAAAAAACATAAAAACAGAAACTGGGGAATGAGATGTCCATAGAGGGCTATGAAAAGCTCTGACATATTCCTAGAAATCTAGAAGGCCATGTGCATGTGAGGGCTGTATGCAAGCTCAGGGAAGACTTGAGAAGGCCCTAGCTCTCACCTCTGGCTGACCTTAAGGCTCTACACAAGGAGGAAGTGAAGGCTAAGGCAGAGTTGCCAATTGCTTGTCAATGTATTGAAGGTATGCCTCAACATACAGAGTCCTTCAGCAAGAGCTGGAGATTTACTGGTTCAAGGCATTTAAGGAAATCTGAGTCCAATCAAGAGCTGAACACTAAAATAACCAAGCAGAGACTTCAGTAACCACACACAACAAAACACACAGAATTAGTTCAGGAAAGTCAATACACAAATAGCAACAATAATAAACAACTGTGAACCTAGGATGGGACAGAGGATGATCTGACTTCCAGAGTTGCCATATTATATTATTTAAAATGTTCATTACTCAATAAAACATTGTAAGACATATACAGAAACAAGAAAGTCTGACTCATACAAGGAAATGAAACATTCAATGGAAACTATTCCTGAGAAAAGCTCAGATGTTAAATGTATTAGAAAATATTTTAAATCAGCTATTTTAAATATATTCAGAGAACTAAAGAAAAGTATAAGAATGATGCCTTACCAACATGGAATATCAATAAAGACAAAACATTTTAAAGAGGACGAAAGAATAATTCTAAAATCGAAATGACAATAACTGTAACGAAAAACCCACTAGATGGTCTCAAAAGCAGATTTGAGATGGCAGAGGAAAGAAGGAGTAAACTCAAAAGCTTATCAATAGAAATTACTAAATCTGAAGAGTAGAGAGAAATAAGATTAAAGGAAAATAATCAAAGGTCTTGTTCAAAGGTCAAGAGACCTATGGGATGCCATCAAGTACACCAGCATATGCCTAATGGGAGTTCCAGAGAGAAAGGAAAGAGAGAAAGGGGTAGAAAAAGTGTTTGAGAAGATAATGGCCAAAAAGTTCCCAAATGTGACAAAGACATGAGTCTACATATCCAAGAGCCCAACAAAACAGAATCAACTTAAAGAGATCCACACTGAGACATATTATGCTCAAATTGTCAAAAGACAAAGACAAAAAGAGAACCTTGAAAGCATCAACAGAAGTGACCCATCATGCACAAGGGATTCACAATAAAATTAAGATAGCTCTTCATCAGAAATCATGCAGGCCAAAATGCAGTGGGATGACATACTGAAAGCGCTGAAGGAAAAAGGCTGTCAACCAAGAACCCTATGACTAACAGAATCATCCTTCAAAAATGAAAGAAAAATTGAGACATTTCAAGATAAACAAAAATTGAGAATTTGTCCCTAGCAGACCTGCCCAACAGGAAATACTAAAGGGAGTGCTTCAGGTTGAAATGAAAAGATACTAGAAAGTTACTCAAATCCACAGTTTTTTAAAAAAGAGTGTTGGTAAAGATAACTAGGTATATAAGAGACACTGTAAGTGTATTTTTCATTTGTAACTTTCATTTCATTTGTAACTTCTTTTTCTCCAATTAAAAGACAACTTCATAAAGCAATAATTAAACTGTTCTGAAGTTACAGTGCATAAAGATTTAATTTGTATGAAAATAAAAGCACAGAGGATGGGGGAAGATACAATGCTATATAGGAACAAAGAATTTGTATACTGTTGGAACTACGTTAGTATTACTCCATAATAGATTGTATTAAGTCAAGACGGTAATTGTAACTTCTACCATAACCCCTACGCTGCTCATCATGTTTACACTTGAAGACTAGTTTATCCCCAGGGGAAACTCAAAACAATTTTAAATGTTAGGTATGTCATGTTTTTCAGGACAGTCAACATATATCTTCATATCTACACATGCAAGCATTTTTAATACACATGAAGCACATGTGGGCGTACGTAAACTGCAAGTCTAGGGAAGTAAAGCAAGCACCGAGGGCTTGGAGTTTTGAGGTTACCGAGCCATTCTGAGCCTGGACTAATGAGATCACACCATAATTGAACTCAGAAGTACCAGTGCCATGGATGGTCTAGGATAAACACTCTCTCTGAGTCCTCTCAGAAGAGTGGCTTAGCAATCTCGACTCACACCATGCCTTCCCACAAAGACCAGAGGAAAGAAAGGAGCTTTTCAGTGTTATTTGCATGCCAATACTGGTGTTAGGTAAGCATATGACAGAGCCACCCGTAGGTATTAAGAACCAATATTCCAATCACATCTTCCAGTAATTAGAGCTTCCTTCCACCAAGATAGATGTAAGCTGTCATTTCCTATTTCTTATGGCATGTGACACATTTCTTGTACTTACATTTTTAAAGAACTCAAATTACAGTCACTCTTATACAAGTTCTAGGCATCATAAAAAGCATGTTTCAGGAAAGCGTTAATAGACAACTCAAAAGAAATGTTACCCAATGCAGCCGAGGCTATTAGGAGCTCGAACTTCTCTCTCTTGCCAAACAGTTCTTCACTTTCTGTAAACTGCACAAAGGTTTCATTCAACACAGTTTGGAGGCTGAAAGTGAACGTGACTCAGACTATTTTTGGAAAGGTCAAGAAAGTACACTTGCCAATTTTCAAATTTCTCTGAAACCTTTTCCTGCAAACATCACCAGTAAAGTTACGTAATCCCCGAGCTGCAACTTGATGATGTGGTGATTTTACTATTTCTCTCGGAAGGTTCAGGTACACACTGTGCGGTGCGTTCATGGGAGGCTTTGTTCAGACGGCATTTTACACGTCAGTCGGTTTAAATGCTTTAGGGGACCAAAACATCTAAAGGTACCTTGGCAGCAAGATGGGAGAATGAACTGAAGCCTAGGAAGGAAACCTGGCCTACCCTTGGCCTGACCACAGCCCACCGCAGGGCTAGACTCCTCCAGTATCTCCTGAGGTGGGGAGCAGGTAGGCCGCTCCATGAAAACCGACCAGATGAGAAAATGGGCAGCTTTGCTCAGGGCAATCTTCCCTCCCTGGCCCCCAAAATTGGTACTACAAACATGGCACTCAAACATGAGAATGATTTCTTACAATGTTAGATGAACTAAAACTCCTTACACTGTAGATTACCTCAAGGGCCAACATAGTTAACCAGACACACCTCAGGCAGATACCTGTTTTCTCTGTCTCTCAAGACCCAACTCACTAGCGACCAGTATTTGTAAGGAGACCCATCTTTCTCATTTGCTAAGTCCGTGCCAGTGTTAGAGGACTGCACCCATGAGAGTCTGCGCCAGTGTTGGGGGCCTGCAGTTTGCTTTCACTTCACAAAAACCGTCTAAGTTGGAAGAACTGTCCTCTGGTGCCTCTAAACTTCCCGCAGCAATGGCCCTGCCCATGCCTGCCCACTTTCTGCTCTAACACTCCAGAGGCAGGGGGCAGCTTTTGGACCTAGGAGGGTGTAAGTAACTTCCTCGCATAGACTTTAGTCCACCTCTCTTGTCTCTGGACAAGTGCAGAGCAATGAGCAGAAGTGGGGAGGTGGGGAGGAGCCCTGCATGGCTTCCCCTCGCCCTGGAAGCCTCTGAAGATCTGTTTTAAACTGCAGTTCTACTGGAGGCAGCTACCATGTTTCCCTAGACTTCTGTTTTCCTGAGTGAAGGTTCATGTACATGCCCCCAAACCAGCCATGGTTGTGAGACCTACCTTCCCGTCTTCTGAAATATGAAACAAATAAAACACACCACCACATAAAGCACCTTTATACATACCACATCCAATGTGACTGGGTCTTCATAACCATCCTGAACGACTACTGGATTCTTTTACAAATGAAGAAATGGGCTTGGGGAGATGAGGCGTTTTGTCCATGGTCTCATCGCTGGCTTCAGTGGAGCTGAAACTTGGCCAAAGAGCTCCCATGTGCTTTACAGGAAAGTACAGAGTGACTCTATGACCACTAGAAATTGCAATGCTGAGTGCTGAATACAACACTCCAGATGAGTCTGACCAGGGCCAAATAGAGCAACAAACCTGGCGCCCTTCCCGAAAGATGTCTGCGGCACTCTTGACCCACGGGGAGCACATCTTGCCTCCCCTTTTTTTTTTATTATTATTATTTTTTAGAGACAGTCTTGCTCTGTTGCCCGGACTAGAGTGCGGTGGTGTGATCTCGGCTCACTGCAAGCTCCGCCTCCCAGGTTCATGCCATTGTCCTGCCTCAGCCTCCCGAGTAGCTGGGACTACAGGCGCCTACCACCACGCCCGGCTTAATTTTTGTATTTTTAGTAGAGGCGGGTTTCACCGTGTTAGCCAGGATGGTCTCGATCTCCTGACCTCATGATCCGCCCACCTTGGCCTCCCAAAGTGCTGGGATGACAGGCCCTCTTGCCCCCTTTTTGACAAGCATTGCTATCAAGCCATGAGTCCTCACACTTAGACTCCAGTAGCTGGTTTTAGGGGGAACTGAGATGTGAAGACATACACCAATCACTACTAGCATCTTGACAGATCCATGCCTCATTCATATCTACCAAGACTGGCTCCGTGCCCTTGATGGTACAGTCATTAAACACCGGAACGAACCCAGAACCCAGAACGCCCAGCATGAATCCTGCTGCCTCAGTGTCCTAAACTATAAATCAGCAAACCCATTTCATAAGGTTCTGCTATTAGGTGTAAAAATGCACAGTGTCTGATAGAGGAGGCGCTGAGTGGGCGTTGGCTCTAATTGTTACATTACTTGCCTGTGTCATCAGATCAGCTGATAAGCATACTTTTGGTATTTTTCCAAGTAATGAGAAAATTGTTGACCAAATCAGGGCAAAGGACACTACTCCCTCTAGGTTGACAAAAACACACGTATCAGCAGCCTTCTGTTACGTTGTTTGGCTGTTTTCAAGCTCAACAGTGACAAAAGGGCCAGGAGACCTGGGTGTAATTCTTGACTTCAGCATGTACCTGCCGTGGGGCTGCGGGTAAGTGGTCCCTCCATGGTTTATGGGTCTCTTTGTGCCACAGGAATAACCAAAGTGCCTATCCTTTCGTGGAGGTAGTGTCTGGAAAGCACCTGGTAGATATTAATGGCTTCATAAATGTTACTCAGTATTACCGTAACACCCAGCTCTTATTCGCTCATCTTATTTAAAGGGTATTTTCAGTGATCTTGTCAAAATGTTTTCTTAAATCAAAACACCACAGTACTGTTTCTATATTAGGCCTTTAAAAAAGAACTTACATGTTGGTTCCTAGGAGCTCACTTTGGGGCCCCCGAGGGAACTGCCAGCTCCTGGAGGAGGGCCCATCTCATGTCTTGCAACACGGGCGCGTCTCCAGGGCTGCTGCCGAACCACACGGGTGCATGTCTTGGTCTGTCCCTGACATCCTTTATTTTCCCCACCAGGTCCCCAGATATCTCATGCTGCCCTGAGAATTATTTTGGAAAACAAATAGTGTACACTAAATAGCTTATTAGGTGCTAACGCTCTAAGGGGTAGCTGAATTTTTGGAGGTCCCAAAGAAGACTGAAAATTCAAAGGCAAGCATTTGAAACAGTGATTTTTTGGAGCCTGAGACACATTTACAATTGAACAGAGGATTCGACCACCTTCCACCTCCCAAAATACCCCAAAACACAATCTGTATCCTGCTTCATCTACGCAGAAAAGCACCTCTTACATTGTGTTACCGGAATATTAGCAACTAACTTTTAAATGTTGTATTTTTTTATGAAACATGTATACAGTTAATATACTATGAGAAAACAACTTCTACTGCTATTCTGATAAAGTTCAATACATACTGACGTACGTGTTAGTTAATATTTTACTAGATCGGTAGACAAATAATGGCATGATTAATTATTTCTGAATGTCTGTGTGCCAGGATCTTTGGAGCCCAAATAAGAGCAAATGTAGGGCACATCACCAGAGGTAGAAGTTCAGGTCAAGTGAGGAAAAGGGCTGACGGCCGGCCAGTGACACACCCATGTGCAGGTATACGCTTTTTCTAAGTGCTGATCCATTAATCCACACTCCACTACTTTGGCCTATTCACAAAGCACTTAGAAAGTGCTATCAGAAAAGTAACACTTTGTGACAAGCCAAGTTTTGATTGCTAGAACAACAAGGACAACAAAAATGATTGACAGGAAAACCAAATCCATCATTATTAAGAACAAAGCAAACATGAAATGATCCTTTACATTACAGAAATCAATCTCAGATAACCTCTTATTTTGGCCATTACTAGAGCTTTTCTCTTGCCTCAGAACTTTAGAAACTTGGAGACCTCTTTTCCTTTCCTTTCATAGACAAGTTAGAAATTAACCAGCTCTAAATAACTTCAAAACCAGTAGGCCTCATGCTCTGAGATAACGGGAAATATTTTCTTTATTTTGCTTTCATCCTCTTACTTCTATCTGTGCTTGACCACTCATCCTCCTTTTCTGAGTCTTCTCTAACGTAGTCTGAACACACGGATACGTCTACTGCATTTTCAGCTGTGCGCACCAACAGGCGGTGTGCTGCAAAGAGGAGCAGCCCATGCAGGGGCCCCTCCCTAGGTAGCATGGCCCTACCCAGAGACCCGTAAGCCTGACTTGGGGGAGGATCAGGATTACTTAGCAGCAAGACTGATACTGAAAGGAAAATCAAGAGAAAGGCAAACGTTGATTCAGAGAATTGGACAGACACTTTTCTCTGCCATAATACATGAAGTCTGCAATACCTTAAGTCACTACAGGACTTTGCTTTCAGATACATTCCAGTGACTTCATCAGAACTTGTTAGGAAATTAAACAGTGCTTGATCAGTGACAGTAGACTAGACTATGAATCCAAGTTAAGAGAAACGACTTAGCACACTCTGAATAATTTTTTCCTAATAACATAATTATTTCCTGCTCAAAGAGAAAGTGGTACTTAGCATGTCATGGAGAGGACAAACTGGCCCTGCAACCTTTAAAGGGCTATGAAAACCACCACCAGCATTTTAGGTGCAAATTATCATGCATAAAACGAACCGCTCAGCAAGTTTATCAGTACACAAGCATGCCTGCCGCCCAACACGACCACCACAGAGAGAGCCAAACATGAATTTTAATAAGCCCTCTTTATAGTATGATGATCAGCTGAGCAATTGTCATAAATCCACAGAGCCTCAGCACCTAAGGTGGTAAAGAAAACAGCACTCACCTTAGTGTCCAGACATTAGTGAAGACACTGCCTACCTTTGTCAGGACAGACATCAGCAGATGGCCAGTCCACATTGGCCTCCTAGAAGAATTTCAGAATTGAGGTTGAGTTCAAATTCCCAAGTTAAAAAATGTAAGTTTCAGAATTTAAAAAATGAAGCCTACATGCTTTCAAACAGCAATGAAGTCGTCATGATGAGGATGTAAATCTGCAGTAAAATGGGTGTTTATCTGATATACGGAAATGTGAAAGGAGGACACCTTAAGGACACAGCTGGGCTGTACCACAGTGAAGCTTGCTGCAGTGTTCAGCGGGCAAGGGGCACTCCCAGGGACGTCGTCTCCAGCATGATCAGACTCAGACCTGGCGCCAACTAGAAAGGCAGTGTGGTTTGGTAAAATGAATGTAAAGTAGAGCTATCTCAAATTATTTAAGGGCATCAGAATGTTCTGCTTCCTTTTTCCACAGCGAATTCTCCAGTTTCCGATGTCCCACACACCTACCAATGCCTACTTCCCAGGTACGGCTACTCAGGCACGCAACCTGGAGGCCCCTCTGTTTACGGCTTCTTAGCCTGGCCTGGGTAGGAAGGCAGGGGTTTGTTAGGACAAAGGGTTGTTTTAAGTTCACCTCTTTCCCTTACAGAAATTGGATGCAAATAGCTGAGGGTAAGGAAGCAAAGAACGGTCTCCACTTTAATCCATGACCCCAAGCCATTTCCATGCTCCAATCCTGGCTGCCCCACTTTCTTTCCTCCTTTGTGTGTAAACATCACCTTTCCTAGGCCCGGTGGCCAAGCCACTTGCTGGGCGGAGGTCCTGCAAGTCCCACTTCACCAGGTCTCCTGTCCACTTCGGTTCTTTGGCTTCAGTCTTTGGATTAATTCTTCACCTTCGATACCGTATTACGGGACCGATGCTGTAAAGAGGTTGCCTGACAGAAGCAGCAATGATAGGGCTGTTTCTTCTAAAGTCCAGCATGCAATGATTTAGTCAATTCAAAAAGAATGGGGTAAGAGAAAAATTCCCATGTTTTCTTTTCACTGATTTTATTTGTATTAGGTAGTTTTCACTCAGAATATCTATCAGTTCATTTTTCAGGTTTAGATATATGTATATGTATCTGTTCGTATGCATTAATTACTTAGAAACTTTATTTGGTATAACTTCACATTTTTGGTATATAGAAATTTTATTTTCTTAATGCAGCACAGTAGACATACAATCAATATTATTCCCTAGAATGTGCAATATATAAATTATTCACATTAAAAAAATTAAGAACAGAAAGCCGCATATGCAGTAAATATTTAAAAATGTATATCTAACTTTGATTCTGTTTCTGACAATATACACTACTAGCTTTACAAATCTGAATGAATATGACATTTACACATTTGAATGAAGTACACGGATGGGTCCATTCCAGATGCTTACTACACTATATGAATAATTTGCTCTTCACTTTGGTCATTGAGATTCCATGTGCTGAGGCATACAGTGGACCCGAAAGACACTTCCAGAAGTACATTTAGTACATTGGCATCTTAAGAATTTCTCTTCCTTTTATTCTCCTTTATAGCGAGGGGGCCTTTTCTCTTTAAAAGCAAGAAGACCTTCAAGTCTGTCTTTCGTTGGAATGGTCTAAGAAAAACAAAATATTAAATATGTCAAAAATGTTAAAACAGCTGTAAAAGTTTATCAAGCACTATCTAAGAAAACTACTTAAAACCACATTCTAAAATTTTAAAATCTATCAGTCACTTGAACAATTCTCCTTATTATGTAACCAAACTCATCCTCCTTACTCCAAGTAGTTCTCTACCTCATTTGGCTCTTCTTTTTCTAGTTTCCTAACAAGGTGGAAGGTTATGATTGATTTAGATCTTTTCTCTAATATATGCATCTAATGCTATTTCTATCTAAGCACTGATTTCAATATATCCCACAAACTTTGAGAAGTTGTATTTTCATTTTAATTTAATTCAAAATATTTCATAATTCCTCAAGACATTTTTGACATACAACATTATTTAGAAAGGTGTTGTTTAATCACCCAATATTTTGGGCTTTTCTAGCAATCTTTCTTTTATTGATTTCTAGTTTAATTCCATTGTGGTCTGAAGAATACCTTGTATAATTTCTGGTTTTTACATTTAGTTAAGTTGTAATTTATGGCCAAATGTGCTTTTAAAATTTTTCTTTGGGCTCTGAGTCTATTTCTAAGACGTGCAGTTCACTTTCCTCATGGCATGTACTCATCAATGACAGGTGGCGATTTATATATACAGGCTGGGCACAGAGTCACACTCTAGATACTGCTCCCTTAAATGAGAGCTCATGCAGTTTCCAACTCTCAGGAAAGGTAGAACAAAACTTTTTTGCTATTTCAAATGCCCTAAAACAAAGTTCTGTCTTTCAGAGAAAGATGAAAAAGGGAGAACATTTTTTTCTTCTACTGGGAGACCTACTAATTCGTATGCATTCATCCCTCAGTATCTGCAGGGGACTGGTTACAGGACCTCCTGCAGATGCCCAAATCTGCAGATACTCCAGTCCCTTATATATTAATAAAATGGTATATCATATTACCTATGCACATCCTCCTGTATACTTTAAATCATCTCTAGATTATTTATAATACCTAATATAATATAAATGGCATGTACACAGTTGTTACGTTGTTTAGGGAATAATGATAAGGAAAAAAGTCAGTACATGTTCAGTACAGATGCAATCATGCTTTTTTTCCCCCTGAATATTTTCAATTTATACTTGGTTGAATCCACAAATGCAAAACTTACAGATGAAAAGTGCCGGTTGTGTAAAATATAAAACGATAATTTCATTAGTGAACTTTCAGTGGGCAGGAGAGAAGGCTCAGAAGTTCAGGAAAAGCCAAGGAGTCTCATCCCAGGTTGCGTGGGCCGGCACACGCTCGCCACCACTCTCCTCTACCTCTCTACACTGGAGTGGGAGACCAGAGCCATACGCGCAAAAGAAAGCATAAGCCTAGAGAGACAGCTCCTGCACACCCAGGACTGACTGAGTTCCTCTAAGAGTTTTCCAGATTATATAGACAAGAGACATTCCTGTGGAACAGAATCAGTCATAACAGCTGGTAACAAATAGCAAAAACAACTAATTTCAACCCATTTGTATGATTTTGGAATGGGCACAAGGGTAATCTTGCTCAGTAAAATTCATTTGAATTATACAAAAGGTAAATACAATTTGTAAGGGTCATCCTCATTGAATCTGTGATTGTATTACATACCTGAGCATAACAAGCTTCTTCTATGGCTAACCCTGTTACTAAATCGACCTGAGAATAAAAACATAATCCATTTCAGCAGAAATAACTTTGTAAAATATGGTACAGTCAACAGAAATTCAAACTGAATAACCCTACCCCCAAAGCCCCCAATCCTGTGATACAGTTCAGCAGACAGAGTGTGACCAACATGAGACTCAGAACCAGGCTTCCTGGGTTCATCCGGACTCCGTCACTTGGGAGCTGAATTACTTGGGGAAGTTATTTAACCTCTCTGTGCTTCAAAGAGGCATGTCTGAACAGGGGCTAATTATAATGCTCACCCAATGCGAGAATTGTGAGGATTAAATGAGTTAATCCAGGTGAGGCCTTTATATCGCAACACACACACACACACACACACACACACACTCACGATGCTTAGTACATAGTAAGGGCTATATAAGATATTTGCTATTAGTATTGCTACCATTATGTAAATATTTAAATAAACCAAATACTTTTGCAAATTTATGAAACTGTATTTACTGCTAATAAAGTCCATCTCTTTTTACTGCTATACAGCCCAGGAAGATATGGAGGTTACTCAGTCTGCAAGAAGGAAGCACTTTTCTTCAAAATACCCATAATTTAACCAAAATTTAACAACTGCCATGAAAAGTCCAATAAATGGGTATGTGCACCATCTCCTCCTCCCTGGCCTGGGACCTCCACTCTTTTGGAGTCATCTCCCTGGGGTACCCGCAGGACATACAATGGATTCACCTTGCATTGCGTGGGCCTCCCTGCAGAAGGCACACTGAGAAGCAAAGGTAGAGAGAGCTAGGAGTTCTCCTTGGAATGTTTTACGTAATATAATACCGATGCTAAAAATACACAGAATGCCCTGTCCCTCTGGTTTTCTATCAACTATTAGCCAATAAATCTGTCTACTAACTCGACGGCAAAAGTAATGAGCATGTCATAAGCTTCAGGGCACTGATAAAATTACTGAATTCTGTGCTTATGATACTGAATTAGCAATAACCGTAAGAATGAAATAAATGACGTAGCTGCAAGGAACTTCAGTAGCTTTCAGTAATAGTAGCATTTAAACAACCATATTTTAGAACTTAAAAAAAAACGTGGAAGTCTAAACATGGTTCATTTAAATTAAATCTCCACTCTCCATTTCCAAAACAAACTCAAGCATTAAGGAACCTACCTCCATCCCTTGATTAATTGCTAATTTTGCCACTCTCATTGCAACAGGTCCCTAAAATTCAAATTAAAGAAAGAGACTTTAATTATTATTTATGCAAATTATGTTGTGTATCTCAGTAAAATTCAGAATTCCCACCACTGGATCCATGGCACAGCCAGCAATGGCTGTCAGACACTAGACGGAAAATTTTCTGAGCCTTGCAAGGCTGTAATTAAAGAGCAACTGCAACAATTGCATCAGCACATTATTTAGATTCCACAATGTTCTGTTATGCTGCAAACTCCGGATCCTTAAAGGTGAGCAGGTAGCGCGTGTCCAGCTGTGAGCTTGCTGTTCTTCAGCAACACTTCCTAGAAGTTAAGTAGAGGAAGGAAAAGGAGGTAAGGCCTTCGCCTCAGTACCATACCAGTTAGGGGTTTCCACAGAAGCTTGGGCTGGGGATGAGGCTGTTGCTATTGATTAAGGTAGGGTTCTGCTATCATCTCTTTCAGACACTGGCTCTCTATCTTTCCTCCGTTAGCCTTGATAACTAATAGTAATGATGGTGGATTAATCAAGAGTGTCCTCTAAGCAGTGCTCCCACAGCACAAATAAAATTGAAGTCTACATAAGTCTTTCAGGATGTAGGAGAGTCACTGAGGAACGAACTGGGTATCTGCTGTGAGAAGGAAAATGTTACCTGTGACTTGCAGAAGCCAAACTCTTACCAAGCTACCCTACCTCAGATGGAATTTCATTATTTGACCACATTTTAAAGTCCTAAATACTGTTTATGGGTGATGAATGTGCATCCAATGCTATATTTTGAACTGAATGCTCTTTTGAATTAAAACACAAGGTAGTCTCTAAACAACAAGCACAGGAAAGGACTCCTGGATGGTGACATGGATGAACGCATGAAAAGACATGTTTTCCTATCAAGGAGTTTCTATTATTAAATTTGACCTATCTAAATTTTCTTCTAAATCATGTTTACAAATCTTTTTCAAAGGCCACAATTTCCAAGGATATACTTGGTAGACAAGTATCTTATTGATAATTCTTCCCATTGTGATTTGCCTGTGTGGTAGACACCAATACCATTTTTTTTCATCATAATCAATCCATTTCATTAAACGGTGTGCTCCTCTAATTTTTCCATTTTCATCGTCAACTGACCAAGAAAAGGTGCTTGTCAAACTCCTAGAGATGCACACAAATCCCCATCCTTCTTGTGGAAATGCAGATGTGGACTCAGTGGGTCTGAGATGGGCCTGACATTCTGCACGTCTAACAAGCTGCCAGGAGATGCCCAGGCTGCTGGTCCACAGACCACACTTTGGGAAGTAAGGTTTAGAAAACCATGAGAAAAACAGGAAAATTCAAAATGCTATTAGAGACAGTGCTTGATTTAATGTTTCCCCCTTTAAAACATAAAACCAATGCCTTTTCTCCTTTACAAGCCTTTTTTTCTCAGATAAATGGAAGTAATATATAATACAGGTATCACCTAGAAATACTAATTTTACAGAAGCTTTCAGTTACCTGGAGGACTAATCATTTGGCAACAAAGTAACAAACATAAAAATAAAGATGATTCCACTCAAACTTCATTTGGTAACTTGTGCACATAATTTTGCAGTCACATATTTTCTGAAGTAACTCCACATCTGCTTATACATTTGACCTGGAGGAAAATTAATTTTAACAATCAACATTCTGAAGGAGTGTCCTTCAAATGAAAGGTGACAAAGGCACATGCGCGGGGACTGTGATGACGGCTGGGTGACCACACAGTGGGATGCGGCTCGACACACTGGGAGTGGAAGGAGGGAGCAGAGGGGAGGACGCTGCTCACGCTCTCAGGCGGGGCGGTGTGTGGATGGTGGTGGCATTTGCTGCATGGTGGTCACAGGAGCATCATGGGAGAGAGAGCAAGTCAGGCCCTAAGGGGATAATAAGCTGCCTATAGGGAGCTCTGAAGCAGAGAACTGAACGTCCATGTCAAGAGGCCAGGAGCAGGCTCTGCAGATCATCAGAACTGGAATTCCGCCATAACCTTTCTTAAACACACCCCTTTCTTTCAACTGAGATACGTTTTGGTCATAAAGTTTTAAGCCAAGCTAAGTTATAACACCAATATTCAGTCAAATTATTACTCTCCTGATACTTGTACCTTTAATTTCTCTTTAGGTAGAGATTTCTCTATATCTGGGGAGAATAAATAAGTTTGTAGTGAGAATCTTTTCTTTTTAAGGCAAAAATCTTTTTTTATTTGCTTTCTATCAATCCAACAAATACACATTGAGCATCTACTGAATGTATGGCTCTGCATTACCTTATATGGGGAATAAATTATGTAACGGTCCTTCCCTAAAAGAGCTAAGAGCTCCTAAGTTAATTAAGAAGGATCAGAGCATCAATGCCAGGCAGTGTGGTTTTAAAAACTGATTCAGCAGGTGCATACCAGCAGAGTGGGGCCTGGTTTGTCAGCAAAGGCTCCTGTGCTGAGTGCCAAGAATACTTTCTGAAACTGGATGCAAGACTCTGAACAAATGTGAACATTCATGCATTTTTTAAAAGATTCAAATGCATGAATTTGGAATCTCATGGCATTCCCAAAAAGATCCACAGCACACAAAAAGGTTATGAATTCTGTTTGAGTCAAGCAACCCTGAGTTAGAGAGAAAAACTATTTTGACTCCAGAAATGGTTAGGGGGTTATAAAACTTCAAATTCCACAGGAATAAAGAAAGATCACTACTACTTACACCACAAAAGAAGACCCTTTCTCTCAATTTAAAGCCCTTTAATCTTGTGATTTCAGACCAAAGGCGTATTTGAAAAATATATCTGAATGGGTGACAAAAAGCTTAAAAGAGGACTGTCAGCGCACGGCCACTGATACCACTCTGGAGTCAGCCATACGCGTTGTGTTCTAGATTTTGAAAGTGTACTTGTGGGCAAGCACAACAGAGTGAAAACGATGCCTACACCACCATAAGCACACACACACACAAAGACAAACAACTACTGCTTTTCAAGCAGGCTCTTCACTTTTCAAGTGAAGCCACTGCAATGAAAGTCCACTGTGGCACAACAGACTATGGTATCTTACTAGAAAACAGCATATTTCAATGTATTTTGACTTGGGGTGGCCCAGTGGGACAGCCAGCCCTATCACTCTTTCTCTCCATGGCTACGGCTTCCGTTAGAGCGTTCAGCTGGTGAGCACATTAAAACACCTGGCTAGGAAGTTGTGCACACGTGACAAATGTTGTCAAGGGATATTTCATCAAAGTGTGGCTACGAGAAGACCCTTGGAGCATCTTTAAAGCCTCATCGGAATTCCACAGGATCGTAGTGTTTATCTCGTGTAACCGCTCTAGTTTTACACAGCCCATGCACCCCTTTACTCGGAAGCAAGCCAGGGACTTCTTCAGTAGGCAAGATGACTGCTGTTTTAGTCAAAGTGTTGTAAAGTTTCCTAAAATGAGAAAAAATAAACTCTAATGAGAAATACCTGAGGTAAAAACTCTCTGGCCAGGTCCAGGGCCTTTCTGTAGGCAGCATCTCCCTCCTGGTTCTGTTCCAGAACGTGGCTGATTAAGCCCACTGCTTTGGCTTCTTGGCCATCGAGGACTCGCGCAGAGAATATGAGCTCCTTGGCCAGGGACATTCCAATGGCGCGCGGCAATCGCTGTGTTCCCCCTGAGGGGTGAAGGAGAGAGAAAAGGCAATGATTTGATACCTGTTAGTTTCAACACTTCAGTGTTTCGTATCTTCATTTATAAAAATAAACCAGGGCCAGAAGTTTATATATTAAAATTAGTAGCTGGAAAACTACTTCCGAACAGAATCTAATTTCTTAATTCCCTTATAAAACTAGTAACACCAAAAAAGGACTTGAGAACCTTACATCCTTATTAAGTGATTTTGGCACTATCACCTGCAACCTCTCTGACATACTCTGAGTCCAATCCACAGTCATCACCACGTCAGTAACCATCAGGTGAACAGCAGTGGACAGGCAGTGCCAGCCAGTAAGTCCACTGACTAGAAAGGCAGAGTTCCACCAAGCTTGGCATTCTTCTTTCAGCTTAAATAAATCTTAACACATTGTGAGACATTCAACTCATTTTTTTTTTTAAAGAATCCTTTATGGTAAATACACTGTAAACAAATTTTAATTTAGAAATAAAACCAGACAATGACTCATGAAAACAGGCTTTGTCCTGCTGGTAGTTTTTTTCTCAGTGCAAGTTCTGGTCATCTCTGTTAGCTCTTCTCTCAGAGATGCTCTCTCACATAAACACACCCTTTTCCAGTTGGTGAGGAAAATCCACTGTGTGTGGAGTCAGAAGCCATGCATTTAGTTTTGACGTTGCCACTTACCACTTTAGGGACTTCAGGAGTTGATTAACTCTTCAACTCCAAGGGAACACAGTGGGTATATTAGTAGGATTTAGGGTAAACCTAGGTCAAAACAGTTCTGCCGCAAAAGATGCCTATTTTGCTGAAGATGGCCTAACTCACTAGATCCATGTAAGTATTCACTACAGCATCTATCTTCCAGTGATGAGGACGGGATCTCATTAAACACAAAGCTGGGCAAAAGCAGGTAACACAGGTCTAGCCTCAATGTCTACCAAGAAGAATATGAAAACAGCTTCAACATCATTGTTCACCTAAATCTCACCTATCAACGGCTGTACCAGGAAGCAGAGGAGCAGCGGACTGCCCCCTTGCAGAGCAGGAAAAGCAAACTGATGCCCGCCATCTACACAAGCTCACTCACTGGACTTCACTTGGCCTACAAAATTCAAAACTTTTCTTTCTGCATTAGTTAGCAACATTTAAAACTAGATGAGCGATTTTATCTAAAAAACCAACTTCCACCTGTATCAACTGCAGCTGTGCCTTTTAGACACAACATTTTTTCATGTGCCAGTGTCCACCACCCTCCATTACTGCAATGCTCCAGAAAGCGTTACTCCAGTACTTTTCCTTTAAAGGAAAGCAAAATCATTTCTTGTTCACATCTCTATGAAAAGTGGAAAAAAAATGAAAGACCACAAGAAGGGACACGTTTAATAAAGTATGCCTCAGCTGGCAGAACAGAGCTTAAGATGCCATTATTAAGCAAACCATATTAAGAACCATAACTAATATTTAGAAAACAGGTAACATTTAGAAAAAGAAACCCTGAATGAATTGCAAAAGGACTCATATTTTCAATACAGATTGTTTTCAAACAAATACAATAATGTCACTGCAAAATGCAGTTATTACATGTTTAAGCTGCCCAAGTAGTTAGAGATGGTGAGTTTATACAGGTGCTTACTCGATACAGAAGAAAATATGTGTCTGAAGACAATGAAGCATTGACAAATTTAAATTTAACTTTCGACAATGATGTTGCTCAGTGTAGTAAAGATAGGTCTGAGAACTTATGGTATAAGCTGCAGGGAAAAGACAAGCTATTTATGGTGCTTCCAATGGCAGCTGATTAGAACACAGATATAAATATAACTCAGATAACTATATTTACTCATGGAGCTGACGAGAATTTTGATGAGACTGAAGAACTTAACGAATATATATTATTCATGATAAGCGTATTAGGAAATGGTTCTTTTTCTTGTTCTATGAAAAGTTTAATGTAGACTGGTCAAAATTAACAAATGTGACCCACATTGTTAATGTCACACTTTTTATTCAACATAAACATTTTCCAAGTCCCTGAAGCTCACACTCGTTCATCATATTGTTCCATTTATAGTATGATTCTGAGGTATGAGGATTTTTGCAGAAACTTAACAGAGTAACGGTCATGTAGGTGGTAACTAACACTATGAAAAAGACCCAGTCCCTTAAGCTGAGGTGCAGACAGCTGGATGCTTTGTTTCCTAAGCTGGATGCACAACACAACAGATGGCTGGCGGGCCTGCCATGGAGGCTAGAGGTATGGTGCAGAAGAGAGCTACCTTTCTGACTCACTGAAACCGATGCATCACAGGAACCAGGCGAAAACCCTCAGCGTGGCTCACCCTCTAACACTGCATCCAGGACTTGACCTTTTCGGATGACATCACAAGCCATCTACTTTATTGCCTCATATAAATGGAATCATTCAGTATTTGTCTTTTTGTGATTCAGCTGTTCACTAAGCATAATGTCCTCAGATTCACCTCTGTGGCAGCATGTGTCAGAAATCCATTCCTTTTTAAGGCTGAATAACATTCCTTTGTACATATATACCACACTTTGCTTACCCATTCATCCCTGGAAGGATTCCTGGGTTGCTTTACCTTTTGGCTATTGTGAATAATGCTGCTGTGAACATGGATACACAAATACCTCTTCAAGACCCCGCTTTCAATTCTGCTTTCAATATACACAGACTGGGACTGCTGGATCATACAGTAATTCTAGTTTAATTTTTTGAGAAATCACCATAATGTTTTCCATGGTCACCAAACCATTTTGCATTCCTACCAATAGAGAACAAGAATTCCAATTTCTCTACACCCTCACCAACACTTACTATTTTTTTTTTTATAGTAGCCATCCTAATGGGTGCGCAGTAGCATTTTGAAACCTGCCCAATAGTCCCATAGACAGTTCTTTTTGGATAAACAAAGAAATTGACCCTTCTGCTGTTAAAGCTTGAAACTTGTATCTGTTTTGAGTTTCTTCCCCAGAGAAGGACCTTCAGGCCTTTCAAAGAAAAGTATCAAAGAACCAAACTCAACAGATCACCACACCAGATGACTCCCTGCCCCTCCCTAGTTCTTGTTTTCTTACACATTGTTACATTTCTTCCCTGCTATAAAAACCCCTGGTTTTAGTGGGTTAGGGAGATGCATTTGAGGCTGAGCTTCCATCTCAGCAGCAGCATCCAATTAAATCCTTCTTCCTTGGCAGTACTTGCCGTGACAGTGATGGGCTTTCGGTGCGGTGAGCAGGAGATCTAGACCAAACCCCTGGTGTTTTGGTAACAATTTCATTGTGAGTAGTGATGCTTTTCCCTAATGACTAGTGACAAACAGCAAGTTTTCATGTGCTTATTGGCCATCCATATATCGTCTTTGGAGAAATGTCTATTTAAAGTTCTTTGCCTATTTTTAATTTGCGTCTTGAGTTGTTTCATTTGTTGAGTTATAGGAGTTCTTTATACATTCTGGATATTAATCCTTTATCAGATACAGACTTGCAAATATTTTCTCCCATCCCATGGGTTGCCTTTTCACTCTGTTGATAGTGTCTGATGCATGAAAGTCTTTTAATTTTGGTCCAATTTACCTCTTTTTTTCTCTTGTTGCCTGTGTTACCAGTGTCATATCCAAGAAATGATTGCCAAATCCAATGTTATAAAGCTTTTTCTTTATGCTTTCTTCTAAGAGTTGTATACTTTTAGTTCTTATGCTACGGTCTTTGATCAGTTTTGTGTTAATTTTTGCATAGGGTATAAAGTATTCCCGACACCACTTCTTGAAAGGGACGTTCTTAAATGATTACACAAATACATGATTTCATTCACTCATTCCCACTGAAATTTTAACTTGTGGAACATTTGTTTGGCAAGAAATTATCTCGGTTTGCAGAAATCTAAGACTGATGGCCTGAATTATATATATTTTTACATGTGCGGAACTGAAAGTAAACTGTCCCCTCCACCCCTCAGGCATACAAAATTCATGATTTCAAATTTTATAAAAATGATATAATCTGTTCAGTTTGCCTTTCTCAATTACTAAAAATACCATGAGCAAAGAACTTTACAAATGGAAGTTACAATGCAATATTGGACAACTAAACATGATTGACATGGAATCTAAGATTTTCACAAATATCTTAGGAATAGTTACCCCAAATGGCAAAACTTTTTATGCCCACATTCTTTTCCAGCTTGAAAGTACTTAAATTTACTAACAGGCATTTTCTGTAATTAAACTAAATGAAACTCAGTACTCTTGCTGGTTAAGGAAGTCAAGTAGGGCAGAAAAACATCCCAATCCAAAAGACGAGATGTGCCACTGAAATCTTGGTGCAATTATAGCTCACTGTAGCATCCACCTCCTAGGCTCAAATGATCCTCCTGCCTCAGCCTCCCTAGTTAGCACGCCATGCCTGGCATCAGACTGTAAGCTCCAAATGTAAAGAAGAGAACTAGAAAAAAAATTACTTCAATTCACCTTTTCTTAATTCTGAATATCAAACTCCAATATTAACTCAGAGTTAGGTAAAAGTGAAGACAGTATATCCTATTTCTGTCAGTTGATTGTTTACACCAGGCTTGCTTCATTAGATTAGATCATATAATCTGCTAGTTCCCTTAGGCATCTGAATTCAGGATTCCTAAACAGTCTTGGTAACTGATGAAATTAAGCAGTGGAATTAAAAAATAGGATTGTCCTTCATGAAATTATAATTGTTTCAGTCTGACAAGCAGCCCTAATGCATTCAAGGTGACAGAGGTCTATAAAACTATTCAAACTCACACTGTCTATCCCAACAGCTTCCAACACAGAGCCCTGACTCCTGGTCAGGATCTGCTCTGAGGCTCCCTGGGCTAGAGCCATATACTCAGGGATTACGACATCAGCAAGTAACACATTCCCAGGACACTCCTGCAGGTACTCCATGGTACTACTGGGTATGAGGAGAAATATGAAGCTAAACTGAGAATTCCAGGATAGCTCACAAGG